CGCCTGGCGAAGGGCTCGGCTTGCTCGACGCATGATGGCTTTGGCTGGACGGTTCTGCCACTGTCCGATTACAGGCCGCACTCTGGCTCTTGCGTATCGGGGCCCTGGAGCTCCCAGCCGGAGTCACCAGCGCCATCGGCTTCTTGGAATCACTCATCTCTCGGCTACTTCAAGTGAAAAGTACCTCCAGAGAGCTACGGTATATCCAAAAAATTGAAATCGGAATACTGTACTCCAAAAAATCGTCCCCTGATTATTTCAGCATAATGTCTTTCCGGCCAGGCAGCAGCGTCTTGACACACACACACATCCTTCTCTCTCTCTGTGGCTTCGTGCCGTCATGGGAGAAGGCCAGACAACTGCACTCAGATTGGAGTTGGGCGACAAGAACGAAGTGCTCTGTCATTTGTCAAGCCTGCCTTGTCAGTGACACACTCTGCTCAGTCGCTCGCACATAATCATTCATGAAACACATTCACTGATTCAGGCAATCGGGCCAGCAGGCCCAGCACTCGGCAGCAGGGCTAGCTGTGTACATCTACACACGTACACAGCTACGCAGCGCAGCGTGCTTGTCTTCACGTAACGTTCATCATGTTCCGATGTGGAACTCAGTGAACTCACACGTCACTTTCGGTAGCCTAGCTTGTGCATATGAATCTTGTGATCGCGTGAGCTGGAGACTCTCGGTTTCTCGATCGTGGAGTGATGCCACTTGCCAGTGCCTCTGCTCTGACATGTGTGAAGGGAAAATACGACCCCCTGATGTGTTAATTGGGCAAGTAAGTTAGTTGGGGGTCACTGACAGTCTGTGCCGACGTGGCTGGGAGTAGAGAGTGCAGGGAGTCGTATTTTTTTCATGTAGCCTTGTAGGAGGTGCTATTGTACTAATTTGTAGGCTACATTTTGTAGGCCCTGCTAGCTGATCAACCCCCTCTGCTCTCACTTCTTTGCCTTGGCTTTACCTTTAGCCTTTTTTAGGTCTCCAACAAGCCACTGCTTGCCCCCCCCCCCCCCACATCCAAGGGGGGGGGGAGGAATCACCATTGCCCCATGGGTGGTCGCAAAACTGAGGCTCTAATGATGTTACCAGTCCAGTAAGTAGTCAGGAACGCTGCTTTCCATACAGTGACCGAGTCCCAGAGTGTCCTCAGCCCTGGGACATGCTGCACAATGTTACGTAGTAGGTCAACTCGTTGAGTTCAGACCAGATCTTGACGACTCTCTAGCTCTTCATAGGTCAGTTGCGATACTGCGCTACAGAGGACCGCGCGCCGCGCCCAACACTGATACGAAACCAACATACACAAGGCCTGGTGCCACATGCGCCTGAAGTTATGATATGTGGCACCAGGCCGGGACGTAACAGCCTCCACAGCCGGGGGAGCCCGCCGCAAATGCTGCAACATCAGCGAGCAAGCGAGTGCGTTCGGAACAGGGCAAGTGTGGACACGCAGCATGCCAGCGGGTACACCCGCGAGACGCACGCTTTCAGACGGCACATACATGCACACCAGCACAAACATACGGACAACCACGCACACCACGCACACACAGCACCTCATCCTTAGTACAGTGTTTGGGAAATAAATTCCAAGACAATAACATCAACAGAGCAGGGAATCTGATCGAGACAACAAACATATCAGGTGGAAACGACGTGTTGTAAAATATGTCAAAGTTTCGAGAATTTGTCAACGAGTTGCCAACACGATGATGTTGAAGTCTCAAGTCGCGTCCAGCATTGACAACGCACTGATCTAACAATACAAAATCAAAAGGAGAAAAGAAAAGAAAAGCAGCATTGCCGGCAAGAAGGCATTAAAGGGGAAGTATACCCTAAAATCAAATTTTCACCAGTTGTAGTCTTCTGGGTGCTGAGTCGAATGGTCTTGGTCCGAGGAAGCTGCGACGCTCCCTTCCTACTTGAATCCCAATCGAACTCGCGCACTTCCACCGAAACTGGGTGACTGCGCCCTACTAGATGGGGATTTGTATGCAAAATGTCACTAAAAGCGCCATTTCGTTCTTATAAAAGCACGGATGACCGCGATTGGCCCATATGTTGTAGTCTTTTGGACGCTGAGTCGACTGGTTTTGGTCCGAAAAGGCTGCGATGCAGCGTTCCTCCTTTATTCCCAATCGAACATGGTTGAACAAGCGGTCACGTGCTCCTGGGTGCCCAAATCACCTGGTCACCGCGCCAGCAGGCGACAACTTTCACACCAAGGTTCAACTCGAGTTCAACTCGAGTGACAGGATCTAGGACTGCACCCAAAAAAGGTCAAACAGTTTAGTAAGTTGTACCCTGCAGGCACGGTGACCAGGTGACTGGTGTACGCAGGAGCACGTGACCGCTTCTTCAACCATGTTCGATTGGGAATAAAGGAGGAACGCTGCATCGCAGCCTTTTCGGACCAAAACCAGTCGACTCAGCGTCCAAAAGACTACAACATATGGGCCAATCGCGGTCATCCGTGCTTTTATAAGAACGAAATGGCGCTTTTAGTGACATTTTGCATACAAATCCCCATCTAGTAGGGCGCAGTCACCCAGTTTCGGTGGAAGTGCGCGAGTTCGATTGGGATTCAAGTAGGAAGGGAGCGTCGCAGCTTCCTCGGACCACGACAATTCGACTCAGCACCCAGAAGACTACAACTGGTGAAAATTTGATTTTAGGGTATACTTCCCCTTTAAATGTCCCAGCAGCAGCAGCAACGGGTACAGAGACTCAAGAGGGTTCAGCGGAATTGCACTCTAACGTGAAATGAAAACAGCAGCATACACATTATAGAAAGTGCAGCAGGCGTATATACTAAAGCATTAAAGGAAGAAAAATCACAAAAAGAATGGGATGGTGATAATAAACTCGTATAAATAATGACGGGAGCAGGCGGAACGTGAGAGACCAGCTTCCACAATTCCAATACGGGGCAGCGACAAAGTCCAGACAGGCGCAGACAATAGAGTAGATCTTAGAGGACACGCACAAACACACACACAAACACACGCCCGCACAAACACACACCAGGTGGTAATAGCCAATAAGAAAAAGAGAACATCAAAAGTTCGACACGCCCTAGAATAGATAGAGAGAGAGATGTGCAACGATATCCGGGAAGCATTTTATATGGCTCGGCAACGAGCAAAGAAACATGAAAAATGCACAACGTCGTCTCACAAGGAGGCAGCTGTGTGCGCTGGTGTACCCGACACAGTCTCTGATCGCTGATGCAAACCGGCGTGGCGTGTGGACACTAAGCCCCCACCGAAGCCACAGGCAGACAGGACTTTGGCCCCTGCAAAGACAAGTCGTGACCCGTACGGACTCGACGGGAATGCACAGCGCGCCCCAGTAACAAACGACGGCTGGTGTTTGGTGCACGTGCACAAACACAATACACACACACACACCAGAGATCTGAGCCGCACCTGGCTAGCTTCTGGCAGGGAACACAGACTGCTCCGGTGCAGCACTGCGCTGGGCTGGCAAGTATGGGCATTGCGACGGGCTGTTCCAAAGACACGATGCATTGCCACGGTAAGCAGTACAAGTACACAACAACAGGTTGCTCCTGGTTGATCCCATGACATTGAACCAGAGAGCTGAATAGTGACACGAAAACACGCTCAGCTGCTTGTTTGGGAATGTCACGTCAACGCCGAACAGTACTACTATTATAACAACCGGCCGTCCCACGCGCAGTGTTGGTGGCGAAAGCGATGGCTTGGAGTAGTGATATTATGACTGCTTGCCGGAGACATCAACTGTCGGAGAAGGAATCGGACGAGTAGTAATATTATGACAACGCACCGGAGACATCAACTGTTCATACTCATAGTATGTCGGAGGAATCGGACGAGTAGTAATATTATGACTATGCGACGGACACATCAACTGTTCACAGTACGTCGGAGGAGGAATCGGACGAGTGCCAAGCGCTGCGAGCGGCTGCCGTCACGCCAACGCCTACACCGCCGCCATTGGCGCGTGCTTGCTTGGACATCTCGATGCCGGCGTTGCGCTCGCGCCGCGTCTTCAGGTGCCGGCGCTTACTCGACCCGTCGATGGCCGCTGCTCTACCAGCAGCGCCGCAGGGAGAGCAGAGAGAGCGACGTCGGGCCATCGCGAACAGGACAAGGAAGACGCCGATGGACGCGCAGACGGCGGAGATGGTGAACACGAGAAACGAGCGCGGGCCGACGTACTCCGACTCGAACAGATGGCCGAGCACGATGGGGCCGATCATCTCGCCCAGCGCGGCGCCGACGACGAACGAGATTGCCGCCTTGCTGTTGATCTCCGTGTACTGCTCTGCCCAGGAGATGGCGGCCGGAAAGACGGACGACATACCGAGACCTAGCATTGCAGAGCCGAAGAAGATGGCGTGACGAGACTGTTCGAATGCCAGCAGGATTACGGCGGCCACAAAGCTGATAGTCAAATCGGCACCGACCATGGCGCCGGCGGGGACCTTGCAGTACGCTAACGGAATGGCCAGGAAACGGCCCACGGCAAACAGGCCCCAGAACGTGGACGTCAACAGTGCGGCGTCGGCCGAGGACAGCTTCAGGTACGGGCTGCGCACGCCGTACGTGAACACGTACGAGCCAAACGCCACCTCCTCGCCGACGTACAGCATGAAGAAGAGCGCCAAGACCAGCAGGAAACGCCAGCGCACGCAGCCGACGAGCCGGGCCGCTACCGACGCCTGCCGACCACCAGTTCCGGTCTCCTCGTCGTCTTTGCCGCTCGTTGTGTTTCCTTTGGCGTCGTCGCCTCCTGGACTTGACTTGCTGCTGCCGTTCGCGTGATGAATGCCACGCTTTCTACAGGCAAAGAAGGCAAACAGCAAGCCGGCGATTAACAGCGGCACAGCGGAGATGAAGAAGGCGTACTTGAAGCGGCCGGTGAACTGCAGTGGGTTCAGCGGACAGTCGGTCGGCCCGGCAGCGGCACCAAGGTTGGCGACAACGCTGCGTCGGGCACGCGCAATCACCAACGGCGTGAGTCCATCACTGGCGTTCGTAGGCGTTACGACCGTAGAGGCAGTTGACGAAACGTGCGCAGCTGATGTTGAGAGTGACGGTAGCGCTGCCGCTGGAAGACCAGCCGTGGAGGGCGAGGAGCCGCCGAGGACCGTCGTCAATAGAGCATTGCTGATGGGCACTGTGCTAACGGAGGACACCGCTGGTGATGCGGTGATCAAGCTGCAGTTGTGCGTCCGTGCAGGCGATATGAACGGCTTGGCAATCAGTGGTGAGACCATGGCGCCCAGGCCAAAGCAGAAGTGCAGAGCCTGCATATACGGCCCGTTGTCCTTGCCCCAGATCTGCAGCAGTAGCACATTGCCGCCTGCACAAACACGCATAAACACACACACGCGTACGCACACACACACACAAACACACATACGCGTACGCACGTACACAAACACACATACGTGTACGCACACACACACAGGTACACAAACATGTAAGTAACAGGACTGTAACATGACTGATCAACATGTACGGCCACAGCCATGCACAGAACACACACACACACACACAAACCTTTGACGCCCATCGCCGGAGGCGATGCTAGCAATGCTACGGCAGAAGCCATAGCAACTTGTGCTGGGATTGCACCATTCAACAGCTTGCAAGGCTGAAGAATTGACCGTCACTATTCAGCCTGGTCTACACCATCCAGCTATTTTGAAGTGACTTTTTCTGGCCAGTGAATCCCCATTTTTGGTCTTTTCATTTTTTTTCCCCCGCACACATCACACCACATACTCCGGCATGTACTGGCTGTTGGTAACCACCCAGGAGAATGAAAGAAAAGTCAGGAAGAGTCTGAGAAAGAGAAGAAAGACGCGTGTGACCATAATCGTCGGGAATCGAACCAGCAAACCTATCGATTGGAAATCGCTGCACATACCACTGCACCATATGGGACACACACACACACACACACACACACAGAAGTCACCGCATCGTGCTCAACCTCACGAAAACAAAACTACAGCGCTGCACAACAAAAATCCGATCTTATGAGCCCTGCACGGGTTCACATCCCAGCATTCCCAGGTCTAGGGCTGCACAGTGGCCAGCACGTACTTGACCAACACCATCGGATTTCATTGAGCAGGACTGCAGAAACTGAGAAATTCCACGTTAACGTTTCAAATAAGCCTCCCTGGCGACTACTCTTCTCTCAGAGGAAATATTTTCGGGGGTATTAAAGGCAAGAGTACAAATACACATTGTGAGAATTAAACGATGTCAATTTATACTAAATTGACATCGTCGCGCTTCGTTGTGCTTCGTCACATTATCACCATGTAGTGATTTGAGAAATACCGTAAAATCTCACCAGAGCGCCCCGTCTCTCCCATCGCCCCTCCCTGACTTCTTGTTAGGGAAGTGATTGATTGTGTCCTCGTATGACTCTGTGATGCCGTACTGTACTGCAGACGGGTGCTCGACCCCGTTGGAAATGTACGCAACAGTGCCCACCCTCTTGACCAGGGATCGCACAAACCCTGAGTTTTGACGGGTCTGTACGACTTCTGGCTCTTGACCTTTGGTCGGTGTACGAGATGCACTAACAGTTTTCTTAGGGTGAGTCCTTTTTCATGTAGTACTGAATGCGGTAAATAGGACTCGCCCACCCGCCCCTCCCCACCTGAACCTACTCGAAGCGTTGAGGAGGTAGGGGCGCTCTGGCGGGATTTTACGGTAATGGTACGAAAGACCTAATCAGATTTACAACTGGCTTCGTCCCTTCGTGTGCTAATTATATTTCCCTCCGACTAAGTCTCTATAATATCAAACACGAAAACGATTTCAAACACCTGCTCACCTGTGTCGAGAAACCCCATTGAGATTCCTTGGACGAAAGTGCTCATCGCCAGTAGTACGACCTTCTTCCACATGGGTGCTATTAACGTGCCTACGAGGGAAATACAGAACAGCACAGCACAGAGGGTCAAGCTGACATCGGGACTCGGGAGGCACTTGACACGGGAGCATAACAATGTGGGTGTACGATAGACAGCTGGTTGGCAATGCTGTGCCATGGAGAGGCGGGAATACCACATTACCAGCAGGGGGGAAAAAGAAAAGAAAAGAACCGCAGCTGCACTATAATCAACACACACGCACACCAACACACACACGCACACCAAACACACACACACATATACATACACATACGCCCCCCCCCCCCCCCCCCCCCACAGAGCACTAACAGCACCAGCACAGCTACTAAAAAAAAAAGCACCGACAACGCATCCGGAACAGCACACAGCAAAAACATCTCACCTACTGCGCTCAGGCACAGAGACACGGCAAGCAGGAAATTTGCATCGAACCGGTCAAACAGCAGCCCCGCCACGATGCTGCCAATCAGATAGCCAATACTGCGCGTGGTGAAGACATAGGATACGACATCCAGTGGCTCGCCAGTGCTGTGCGACAAGTCCAACAGCGTGGGGCCCAGCATGCTAAGAATAACGCCCTGTGCAACACGGAGACAGAGGAACACACCACAACAACAGTACATAAAGTACTCCAGTCGACGGTGCGAACAGCGACCCTCCGTCGGCCATGCGATAACGTGTTGCTATTCGCAAGTTGTCGTTTTCCGCGAGGTTAACGTATGCGGTCAAGCGGTTACTCGGTCTGAACATAACAATAGTCTGAATATAGTGTTGTTATTCGTCAGTTATTCGCCAGTTGTCGTTCTATCCAAGGTTTGTGCATCCACAATGTCGCCCACAATGTGGACTGCACTACAAGCAATGTCTTACTGTAAAAGCCATTATTCTAACGATTTCCTAAAATTGACTGGTTTACATGTAACAAAGGTGACGATTCTCACTCATTCTCAACGCTCAATAGCAACAGTACCGTAAAACACCGTTGATCCCCCCCCCCCCCCCCCCACGCGATGTCGCTTCCCAGCTGGTTTTTCGGCAGGGGGCGGGAATTAGATCAAGGCTGTTAAGTGCAGTACGATGTACAACAACGTGGACGATCAGACTCGATGTGCTGGATTGTGCACATTTTCATCCTGGATTGGCATGTATTGTGTACAGCAGTGCAAGCGTCGGTTCAACATCGTATTTCGTTGTATACGCCGAAATCGCTTCACAGGGAGAAAATCAACAGGGGGCGGGAATTAGAGAGGGGGCGGATCAACGGTACTTTACGGTACAGTCAACTTCGCTAATAACGACTGCGGATATAACGACAATTCGCGAATAACGACATAATTTCCATGCCCAGAGCAAAGTCCCATCCAACTGTAATACATAATATTATAATGAGACTTCGGGTATAACGACACTTTGTGAATAACGACACTTTTCTGATGCCCCGCCGAGTGTCGTTACACACGTATAAGCGAAGTTGACTGTATACGCAGAATAACGTTCCGGATGTATGACCAAATCAATCATGCCTCATACAAGAACCTTGATCGCTGAGCACACACACACGTATTGAAGAAGACTGGGAAATTTTCCGACAATCACAGACGGGTAGAGCATTGCCACGTTCCTGAACGTGAACAACACAGCATCCACACGCTTGTGCGCTGTGTGATCGCAATTCAAGTCTTTACAAGCCTAAACCTCCCTACGACAAGCTCGAGTAGATCCCGGGGGTCAACAAACACAAATTGTCCAGCCACCCAGCCCTCGACAAGATCCCAAATGTTAGATTCTGAACTGCCACAAAAAGGAAAGGAGTCGAGTGGCGGATGGCACAGAATGATCATTAGGAAATGTGCGAGTATCAATAATTTACAGATTGCAAAGCGCTTCATTCTGCGCCAACGGGCATCAATCTGTTTGACATTCGCCTCGATTAGTGTTCTCAAACACGACATGCATTTCAATTGCTCTCAAACTCACCAGTCCGAAGAACGACAAAAACAAATTCAGCGTCACGTCCAGCTTGCTGGGCGCTCGGAGCTTGGACACAGCTTGGGTCCTGCTCCCTGAATTACTATCTCCCTGTATCAGCGCCTGCTTGTCCATCTCCTGCAGGCCCTTGGCCGAATACAGAACATGCTCGTCATCATCGTCGTCGTCGTCGGAGATCTCCATACGCCGAGGCGTTGCCTCGTAAACTAAATCCATCTTTGGAAATACACGACGCACGGGATCGGTCTCAGAAAATCCTAACACAAACAGCAGTTACACAACAGCTTATAGGGAACAGAACGCTCCTGGGGGCCTGGATCGTGCAATGATGTTCTTCGAAACTGGTGAAAGAACCTCCTTGCTATGGAAGAAAAAAATTAATGTTTCCTTGAGAAGTGACTCCACTGCAAGATCTGCATGCACTGCTTCGTTGGTTTCACGTGTGAAAGATGTAATGACGAATCCCGCGATTTTGACAACTCTTGCACTTGCACTTGCATTTCAAATGAGCTCATCGTATGATGTCAGGCCTCAGGATCCAACTCGCATCCAACTCCATGTTTTCCATAGCAACCAGATATTGGAGTGTGGTCGCTACGCTACCGTACTGAGCCGAGCGGCGTCTATTTTTTGAAATGGACTTGAGCAAGTTAAGGTAGATCCCCTGTCGCTTCGTCGAGCACGATAGTCGATAGCCAAACAAACATTCAAAAAGCCTACAACTCACGAGCTACACACCACACCACACAACAAGATGTTTGTTTGTGGCGAATGGGAATCGAACAAAGAAATCAAGTCTTGGTCCGTGGAGTCGTGCAAGGTGCACATCCCGAGCCAGAAACAAAATCTCAGCATAGTTTTATTTCTATGGAAAGGAAACATTTTAGCTTGGTAGCACCACTGCACTGGCGCTGGCTAGATCTTCCATTCATAATTATGCCGTAACTGCACCTAGCTGCTAGCACAGTGCAGTAGCAGTTCATCAGCGGTGGTCAAGCACTGAATAGTGGACTTCGATACATCAGGCCACGGTCGCTAGCAGCTGGCCTGGTTGTTTTCCCTCTTCGCTCATCGCTTTCGACTTTCATTCAAAGGTCAAGTGGGTACAAGTGAGTCCCGTCTCTATAACTATTACTCATTTTCAAAGTGGGCACAATTAAATTAATGTATTGTGCGGACACCGAGTAATTATCGGTTCGCACTGTGGAGCGCTCGAGCATGCGTGCACATAGCGAGCACACGCGTTGGGTCGACTGGTCAGTTCATTCAGCAGCAGCTGCTAGGTGTTTCCTCGGATTCGGAGGGTTTCCAACTTTCCTGGCACGTTCAGTGGCAATAGCAGAACACTGACCCAACTGCGCCTGGACTGGAGTCCCTGGGCCCATGCGTATTAATTTATAATTTTATTAATCTAGGGCGTCCGCAGGTAATGTAGGGCTGGTGGTAGGGTCAGCCACCTGGCGTACGATTTACTCCTCGGGAGAGGTGGGTGAAAAATTTGGAACCCAGAGTCAGTGCGTTTTATCGATTCACGGCGGGGGGGGGGGGGGGGGGGGGATACCTTGGTCAAAGAGTGGTACGGTCAATACCGTAGTCACCTCGTGAATAATGACCTTGGGTATAAGAACCCTCTTCTCAATTTAATTGGCTGCCTTGACATGCTACGAGGGGCAGAAATAAATAAATAAATAAATAAAAACTCGCGAATAACGACACAATTGTCAGATCCAGTAACCACTTGACCGTGTCATAGTAGAACTCCCCTTACCCGGGCAGGTTGGGAACCGGGCAGGTTGGGACCCGGTTCCTGGTCCATAACAAGGAATTTCCTGTAATCACAGAGCATGCGTGTACAATACGCTCATACTGGTTGTATGCAAACAAGCACTTTCAACGAAATGATAATCAGTGGCTTTTTCAGGGGCGGATCCAGGAGGGGTTCCGCGGAACCCCCTAAATGTCGTACCTCGAAGTAAATGTACTAGTACTGGCATTGAATACTGGCAACCATACACGGGTGTTTGCAGTGCATGAACTCTGGCCAGTCGTCCCCGTACGCAAAATGCGTACGCATTTGGATCTACCGTACATTTCCTCGTGTTTTGGGCGAATCTCAGCGGTACGACGCTGTCGAATTGGGCCTGAATTTGCCCTGAACCAGCCGCTATCGAAGTAAAATTAGGTGTTTTGAAGGCCACACGGGAACACTGTGGCCATGTCTTCGTTCCTGCGTCGTTTGTTTGAAAATCGGAGTGTTTTTGAGCTCGTAGTTCGTCTTCGTTGTGGAATGGCCGTGCGTACATTCTCCTTGGAATTACCAAAGTCACACCCCCGTTTATTACATTACTAGGAGTTTTGCCGGCAGCCACGATAGTTTTTATCCCTGCTTCCATACGTCCTTTCATTGAACAGCCAAACGAAACTTTGTGGCGCGCCTCAGTTTTTTGTGGCGCGGGGGTCTCAAGTTTGTCACTTCGAGTTGTACACAACGATCACATCAACACCTCAAAGGACCAAAAAAACCAAGTGAGCAAGTATTTCAACCTTGCGATTCTGCCTGGCCTACTCTGAAGATGGAGACTTCTACTCGGTAGCACATACTCGTATCAATAAGCTGGGAGGGAGAGCGTGGCGAGTAAAATGTTGGGATGAAAAGAGCCACATTCTCTCTCGGAAAAGGTCGTCGTTCGTTCCTACACTGGCTACACACTTGCTCTACCCAGCTCTGCAGAAGGCAAGATTTTGCATGCACGTGCGAGATTCGCATCCGCCACGCACATAGGCAGAGTCGAAATTTTTGTACTCTCGGATTTGCCGCCATCTTGACGAGTGGCCACTGCGAAACACCCGTGCATATGTGTGTACATGTACATATGTCAGCTACTGTAAAACGGGTAACTATTGCGACGTAAACATGTTTGCGAATTTTGCGAGAGGCCCCGAATCGCAAACTTTGAACAACGCAAACTCGCGCCATGTAAAGTTCAAAGAAGTATGTATTCAATATGTATGACATTCAATATGCATTCAATCGCAAACATAAAAACAGCGCAAACCAGTCTCAATTTGTAAAACGCAAACATTTATTGTCGTAAACGTTACCCGTTTTACAGTATTCAGTTTTGACTATACTGGAGCCCCCCCCCCTCCCCCCCCCCCCTGTAGAGATCGCTGGATCAGCCGCTGTTTTTTGGTGCCTTGTTTTGGTTGAAAAGCCACTACGGTACGTTTGGGTGACTCTAGAATGGTCAGAAAGGCAGTGCCCGGTAGACGGGAGTAGGATCTGGAGAGTAGGGGAGTTTACCGTGCTTTAAACCCTCACGTTTTCTCATGCACGACTAAGGGCAATTCATGCTTCATTTCGTGTACGGGAAAGCCATCGCGCGATCGTCACGCGATGGACCAAAATAGTTGAGCTCAAGTCAACTTTTCGGCGATGCGACGCGTTTCCCGTGTTTGCAAAATGAAGTATGAATCAGGCTTTAGGGTCGTTATTCTTTTCTAATAATCATCTTCATTTCAGGATTACCCCAAGGATACCGCCTATCAGTGGGGGGGGGGGGGGGGAGGGGGGGGGGGGGGAGTCGGGGGCAGTACTACCAGGACCAAAGGATGCTTATTCAGTCAAACGACCCTGGATAAGAAGACCAACTGTACACTCGGGACCACATGTTAAATTAAAGAGCGGTCGCCTTAGACAGGTTTCGCTGTATGCGCAATAGTTTGTCTAAAGCGAAAGTTTGTCTTGTCAGCGTTCTTCCTAATGAGGTTCCACTGTATTATCAATGCGTTGTTTTGCATTTTCAATAGCACGCAATCCGGGAGCATGGAGATGCGATCGTTCACCAGCACTAACCGCCTGCCGTCACGCGCCCTGTTTGCCGTGACGACCGCGGGCGCGTCGACCTCCGCCAATGCCGTCAGCGTGGACGACCCAGACACCGCCGGGTATCGTCACGGACACCGCCAGTCGCCTGCCGCCAATCAGCCCGTTTGGGCGGCTCAGAGGCCGCTCAGAGACCCCACTACCATTTTAGACCCGTGGCGAAGCACCCTGATCAGCATCATGGAGGTGGCCTTTCCACAGGCACGTCAGCTGCAGCTGTTCGAGAGGCCAATGGGACGACGGCGGAAACCGCAATTAGGAGGTAGTTACTTTTGTTGTTGTTGTTTCGAATCTCTATTCTCATGATGGCCTGTGGCCAATATTATTATTATTATATTGAGGTTAGTATAGGTTAGTATGGTGAGGAAATTTCACGGCTAGCTGCAGGAGTGCATAAAACCCAGAGTGTGCAGCTTGGGGCCCTTTCTACTGTGAGTGTCTGCCACGGCAGAATTCCGTGATTACATCATATTCGGCACAGATCTGAGATGGGAAATGGCGCAGTGCGTACAACTGAGCTGCAGTTGTGCAGAAAGAGACCTGCATGCTTGAAACCTGCTTGTACGCACTGCATCACTAAAATGATGTACGGTATTTCTCCAAATATAAGTCGCACCTTTTACACCTAACTTCAGGGCCAACAAAGGGGGTGGGTGCGACTTACAATCGAGCATGATCTGAGCATGATCTGAGCATGATGATTTACTACTGAAGTGAATATATTGAAACGATGTGACATGGATCCGGAAATGGGGGTGCGACTTACAATTGAGTGCGACTTACAAACGGGGAAATACGGTAATCACGGAATTCTGCCGTGACAGCAACCCATCCGAGCTGCACACTCTGGTTTTCATGTACTCTTGCTAGCAGTGATCAGACTAGATGTACGGGTGAGCGTGGCTCGTGCATGAGCAGATTGAATTGAGCAGCAGGGTTGATATAATTATTTTGCTTAAACAAAGCTGGTGATTGAATATCGCGTAACGTTGAGGGGAACCCTCACACACTCGGTTATTGCAGTTGGCAAATGCTACGTGCGAGTGTGCGGAAAGCTTTGGCCTGTATTGACACGATTTGGGGCTGCGAGCATTAGAATATGAGGCGGGGCGTAATTGTGGTGGATGGAGTGAGCAAACGCTATGTGTTTAACATTAAAGTTGGAGAAGAGAGTGGGCCACTTGATGCGGTGTAGAAGGTCATAGTGGTTAATATGGGTGTAGAGAGGGAGGCGGAGGCATAATCCTGCGGCTTTCCGCTGGATTCTCTCTAGCTTGTCTAAGTAAGCTAGTGTGGGATATGACGGTTACAGCGATGCTTGCAAAAGAGTACAGGGATAGGATGCGTCAAGTATAGATGGCTGCAAGAGCAGAAGTGGTAAGGGTTGATTTTATGCGGAATAGCAAATTGAATGACTTGAGTGATTTCACTATAATACTATTGAAGTGTTTTGTCCAGCTCAGATCATATTGGAATATTATTCCAGGGTGACGGTGCTGTGTTACTGTTTCTAGTAGAGTTTGCCCGAGTTTTATTAGGGGGGTTGTTGTTGTTGCTGCTACTGCTGCCCGCTGCTGCCCGCTGCTGCTGATGCTGCTACTGCTGCTGCTGCTGCTGTTGTTGCTGCTGCTGTTGCTGCTGCTGCTGCTACTGTTGCTGCTGCTGCTGCTGCTGCTGTTGCTGCTACTGCTGCCCGCTGCTGCTGCTGCAGTTGTTGTTGTTTTTTTGAATTCTTTATTCTCACGATGGCACCATCGCCAATAAGAGATAAATTTATGAGGTGAAATTGTGGGTTAAACAGTTGGAAAGTGATTTACATCACTTTGAACTTTACAAGTATGGGAGAGGGTGAGCGCTGCAGGAGCAGATTGAGTTAATCAGCAGTGAGCAGATTTCTTGTTTGAAAGCAGGTCGGGAGGAGACATCACGAATGCTAGCAGGGAGGGCATTGTAGTATTCTAGGGACTTGTACAGTGGGGAGTCTTTACAGCGATCGGTTCTGGAGGGTGGGAGGTGCCAAGTGCGTGCGTGTCGAAGGCTGTACTGGGCCGTAACTTGAGCGGGGGTGTTGAGCAAGCGTATGTGTTGTGGGGCATATTGGTATTTTATGGAGTGAGCAAGAAGGGTGAGCTTCACTTTGCGGCGAGAGAACATTGTCGGCCATTTGAGCCGATGGAGCAGTGTTGAATGATCCAG